CGAGGTCCCTTTCACAAGTGCTGCTCTCCAGCCACTTGTCCCCCAACTGTCCTTATGACACCCATTCCTATGCCCCAAGTGCAAGACCTTGCACTTATCCACCTTGAACGCCATCCTGTTGTCTCCTGCCCACTTCCACAGTCTGTCCAGATCCTTTTGTGTCTGGAGTACCTGCTCCTCAGTTGTGGCCACTGCCCCAGTTTTAGTATCATCTGCGAATTTGATCAGCAGACTGTTCACCCCTTCTTCCATGTCGTTGATGAAAAGATTGAACAGGATCGGCCCCATGACAGAGCCCTGGGGGACCCCGCTTGTCACTGGCCGCCATCCCAATGATTCCCTGCTAATGGTTACCCTCTGCTTTCGGTCAGTCAGCCATGCCCTAATCCACCGGACGGTGCTTTGGTGTATCCCAAAACTCCTCAGTTTCTCCACCAGGATACCATGGGGCGCTGACAAAGGCCTTGTTGAAATCCAGGTTATCTTGAAAATGTGCCCTGATTAGCCACGCCTCTCCTACCATCTTGCAAAGAGCGGTCATGAGAACTGAACATAAGAAGAGCCAGCCAGACATAAGGCTTAATCTGGCCTAATATTCGGTTCTCGGAGTGGTTCTGCAGAGCCAGGACGTGAACACAACAGCTTCTGTTTGTGTTCCCAGCAGTTGGCATCTTGTATTAAATAATTACTAAAACTGTGAGCTGTTAGCCAGAAATTCTCCCTGAGTGGCAAACTCCCAGCTGACTTTAGGCATTGACAACTGGGAGATTATAATTCAGGCCTCCTTACAAGGCTGTTGTTAAACTTGTGGAACGTAAATCAGCACTTACTCCTATGCAGATTGGGAAAGCTGTTGCAAGTTGCTTGCATTTTGTAGTTTTCAAATAAAGGAGGGCAGAATGCCTAGGCTCATGAGCCTGATTTTGTTCATTCACTACGCGCACGCACACGCACGCACGCACACCATGTGCTTGTGCCATGTATGAGTATGAATACTGTGACCACGGATCTGCTTCCTGCGCAGAACTCCTTCCAAAGATGGGCTGACTGGTTTAAAGGACATATTCGCTTAGGGTCGATCTAACATGCCTCTCCCGAACCTGGTCCTTGCCAGATGTGTTGGACTGCAGCACCCATCCTCCTCAGCCTCGTGTCCATACTGGCTGTGACTGATAGGAATTGTGGTCCAACCCATGAGTGGAATGGTGTGACTTGGCATTCTGCACCAGGACTCTTTGGCCCCCTTGTCGCCTTCCGACCCTGCTGTGAATCTCTGGATGCATTTTAAGGGGCCCAAGCTGGGCTTACATTGGCCGCCATGACTAAATGGCACCCCCTTAACTCGGAGAACCCGCTGCAGCGGGCAAGCGGCTGCCAGTCCATCCCGCTTCCCTCGAGCGCATGGTGTCCAGTGCCCGAAACGGTGGAGCACCTGTTTCTTGTCTTGTTGGAGTCATCCTGGGGCCAGTGCAGGGAAAAAGGAAGGGAGCTATTTTTAATCAAAGGTGCTTTCTCACTTTAAACAAAAAAGGGAATGCAGTTCTCATGCACAGAAACACCTCAGCTCCCAACTGAAAGAGCACCGAGCTGCCCTCGCTGACCCACAGAACCCGGGGCTTCGTAATGTTACGAACACGCTCAGAACTCTCTTGCTGATGACAGTACAGAAGCAGCCTAGCGTCCTACCTCCCACACAGAACGCCACATCAATGGGAACAATAATGCCATATACTATAAGTCTTTAATTGTGCGTTTGATATTGCAAGCCATCCCTGAGGCTGCTGTCATGTTTAAGCTATGTTTGTTATTAGCCATGGTATATTCCTTTATCCTTGAACAGTCTTGCAGACGAGCAAACAAACCACATTGTTTCTCCCCGATATCTGGCTTGTATTCCCTTTTACCAGCCTTTGGAACAATTTCATTCTCCGGCTTTTTTTTGTGGCGGGGTGGGTAGGTTGTACATTCCAATTAGTATGGGTGCTACAACAGTCAAGTGCAACATTTATGTATGTATGTATGTATGTATGTATGTATTTATAGGTTTTGTATGTCATCCCAATACTAAAAGTCTCTGAACAGCTTACAAAAAACCAAAAAACAAAGCAACCATATGCAACGAACAATACACAACACACTGCATCTGATAAATGATTATTGAAAACGAGGATAAAACCAATTAATTGTTAAAACAGTGGGAATAAAAAGACTCTCCAGATGTTCTGGCCTAGAACTCCCATGATCCATCACCATCAGCTATGTGGGCTGGGGCTGATAGAGGTTGTAGGCCAAAATAGTTTCATGATAGATGATTTAACCCAGAGGTCTTGTTGTGTAGAGTCCTCCTTTATCTTGTATTTTTGCATTTTTGATTGTGCTTTTGTATTTCTTTTGTATATTTGCTTTTCTTTTTCATGGGCATATTGATGCACTGATGCATTGATGATTAGGGAAGAGGGTTTAATATGCATAAGAATATTAAAAAGACATGCTGGATCCAATGGGGGTCCATTCCATTCACAGAAATGATCCCCCGGCCTCCGACACGGGAGGTTGCGTATTCCTACAAGGTCTAGTAGCCTTCTTCCTGAATGTGTCCAATTCCCTTTTAAGACCATTCACACTGGTGGCTGTAAGTCCATCTTGTGG